GACCCCCACGTGCAGAGCACGTGGGGGTCACGACATTGTTAGCGTCGATAATTGAAATGTACATGTAAAATATGAGATGTCCCAAGGGTAGACAGAGAATAACACCAGAGGGACATACTCATTTGTTCATCCAAATCACAGAGAATTTCTTAGCCCCTATACTTTGTCTCAATGATCAATTACACACCTAGACTTTGAATAATGTCAATTTTATCCCTATACTCTTTGAAATCGTATCAATTTAGCCCCTACCGTCAAATTTGAAATGGAAAAATTTCAAAAATTACAATTTGACCCCGATTTCAAAAGAAAGATGCAAACTCACCCTCTTCTACTCAAATCCACCATCTCCTGAAACCCTCTCCAAATCCAAACCCCAAAACCCCTTCTTCTTCTTCAACCTCTCTCATCCTTCTCTGTTCTAGTATCTTATACTCACTTTCACACACACATATAGATATATATATATATATATATAGAGAGAGAGAGAGAGAAAGAAAGAAAGGAGGAGAGAGAAGATGAAAGGAGAATATGTAGAGGAAAATGATCCCACACCTCTGATGAAACCAACAGTCCCACCATCGCCACCATGCAATCACTTGTGAAAAGATTCGCATCCTCACATTCAACTAAAATTTGATAATAACTTATCATTTGCAACAAAGTAATAATAATGATAAATAACCATTGAACTTCCTATCTATAAACATCAAAATTCATATCATACAACTCAAAATAATATCAAATGTGTTAAGTAGATATTGAAAGAAAAACTAAAAACCCTCACCAGAAATCCTATCACTGAGACCGAGCACTCGACACAATTCAATAACTTGCTGATACCTTGCAGCAATGGCAACAAAATCAATATGTTCCTCTATGTGGGTGTTTGGGAAGTTGCTATTTGAGTAGGCTATTTTAGTTTTTGGCTATTTTAGAAGACTAAAATTTGTGTGTTTGGGAAGATGATTGGATTCAACTGTCTTTCCCCAACCTTGAATTCACATTAAGAAAGAAATTATTTTGGAAAAATTTCTTGTAGTGCACCGAAAATGTGGTAAAATTTTAATCTGTTCTAATAACATATTAGATTGTTAACCATTAACTCTTTTAAAAGTTTAAACTTTGTAAGGAGAAGTGTAATTTAATCTTTATCCATTTGAAGGGGAAAAAAAAAGTGTTTGGATTGAAAAACAGATCTAAGAGTTACGTGAAATCTTTCTTGCAGTTTGCAAAGTCACTCTGACTTTCACATTTTCTTCAGTTGTCAATAGATAGTAAAACTACCACTTACCCATCAACGACAAATACAAACATTTGATAGGGCCTAGGTGTGTAGTTTGAAGTCTGTGACAAATGCAATTATGCTGGCTTCACTTGGGAAAACACTTTGAAAGAAGGAAGTGGTCCAGAAAACGAGTTTCACATAGAAATCCACTCTTTTTTGTTTTATTTGTTTTTTTTTTTTTAAATAATTATTTAATTTACAAAAGTCCATAAGTAGAGGTCACCAATCTATTTTGCCTGTGGACCAAGACAACAATAAGTGGAGAGGCTGGTGAATTGAAAACAATTTAATTTTTAATTTTCCAAAAATAAAAAATCCAATAATTTGCATGTGCATTTTTTCTTTTTCTTTTTTCTATTGCATTTCAGAAAGTATGAATGATGAGGGACGTATTCAATCCAACAAGAAGAAAGAAAAAAAAAAAAAGAATCGATCCTGCTACTTGGATGCGGACAGCATGAAAACGAGACTCTTTGAAGCAGATATACTAAGAATTATTGTAGTACTTGATAACTAACCTTTGGGAGTCAGCAACTTTGTACTTATGAACAGGAAGAACATATATCTCTTCCTCAGTCATTGAAGAAACCGTGGGAACATTATCCGAATCCAGTGCTCTTAAAGTTTGATAATTTGCGTTTAGCAAACAAATAGCTTTTAAAAACCTGATTTAGTTTACCTAAATGAAGTTTTTATGCTTCCGGGAAAAGAAAATAAAAAGGAGAACAAAAATTGTGTACATCACCTCCTTTGTATCATTTTTCAGTTCATTTGTTGTTGAATCTTCGAGCTAGACCATAGTGAACTTCAAAAAATCAAAATAGTTAAAATTTAGATTTAGTTTACATGTGGTTTTAAAATTGATTAGAATTTGAGTAGTTGAATTTTTTAAGGTTGATTCGAGTATCTGCAATTTTTAAGATTTGAATTTGAGTTTAATTTTAAAAATTCATGTTAGACACACAAACATTTAAATTAGATTAGATTCCCTCAAGTTCCACAACTTTAGTATTTATTATTAGCAAGCATCGCTTGTGTTGTCAATATTATTCGATTTTGTTTCATGGACCTCCAATATAATTATATCCGTCATTCCTAATTGAAAAAACATTCAATGAATAACTGAACAAGGTGTTGACAATCATACACGAACATCTAAATTACATTCTCCACAAGTTAAAAGCAGTTTGGAATACTACACCGATCATTTGTATTGTCTAAAATATCATACATTATTCCTAATCCAAAACCAGTTCAGCTAATACAAGAGCAACGTCTTTTCCAATCATACATAAACATCTAGAAACCAGTTTAGTAAAACAATCGCTTTTGTTTCCTTGAGTTGGGAAAATTTTGCAAAGCAAATAAAGAGAAACATAAAGACTGTAAAGGCAGTCTGAAGTATATTATTTTTCTTTTTTCTTCATTTTTTCGGGCATATTGACAAATATGTGGTTTGCATGTAGTGCACATAAATACAAAAGAAAATAGGAACATGGAAATTAGGATATCATACAAGACAAATAAGTGTGGAGGTAGGCATGTACATACCAGAATTTGCAGCCATGAGAGAAGAGCATTACAATATCAAGTTGAATGCAGGGATAAACATCAGACAGTGATGCTGAAAAATGAAGACAAGGATAAATACATGAAAGCAATTTGAGAGAAATAAAGAAACAAAAAATCTAAAATTAGCATTAACAAAAACCTTGACTTTTGATTTTGTCATATTAAGGTAGTGTTTGGAAGAGTTTGGGAAATATGATTTGCGAATAGAGTTATATTTTGAGTTTGTGTGTTTTGGAATTATGATTCGAGTGTAGAAAATTTGTTTGGTTATGAGTTTGAAAAGAGTTTTGAATTGAGTGGAGAATTTTTGATGTGATATATGATATCTGATGCAAAAACTTACAACTCATAACCAAACATACGACTCAAAAATCTATTAAAAGCTCATAAGAAAATTTTAAAAATTCCGAAAATATTGTTTTATTAAATTTTTTTTTTTTAAAAAAAAATGCCAATTGCAACCAAAAAAAAAAAAAAATTTGTCCTGTTCTTGTCCTGTTCCAGCTGACCGGTTGGACGACTAGTTTAGCCAAATTTCAAAAAAAAAAAAAAATCCCGCCTAACACAGAGTTTTCTTTTTGTTGTGGAAATATAATTTGAAAAATATATCCAAACATGGCATTGGAATGCAGGGGTGGAAGTATAGTTTGAAAATCTATCCAAACACAGCCTAAGTGTCTCCCTTATTAATTCAGGAGGAGATAAATACACATGAGAAGTAAAATCTAATCAATTCCAAAATAGAGCAGGAGAGGCTGATATTTGGCATAACATAAAAGCCACACCACCCCTCTAATCCACAATGGATGCAATCCAAACAAAAGAATAGATTCAATTTGTAGAAGACAATCAAAGTGACTCATTGTGGGATACAAAATGTTTGCATACATGAATTTAGATATCTGGTTGAATTCTTCAAATATCTCATCAACTTCATATGTAATCTCTCCTCTTTAACAAATCTGGGGTTCAAAGGCTGGTAGGTTTGGTCTATAATAGGTGATTTCAGGGGCACCCACAAATCCAGTTTTACTGTAATCAAATATCTGGGTTAGGATTAGATGTTTTGAATCTGATTTTCAACTTTAGAATTCTAAACTTTTCCCTGGTTTATTGAATTTTGGTGTGAGTTTTGAAACTTATTACCAATGTAAAGTAGTAGGGAGATAGATGTTCAGATTGAAGTTTTGTGGGAGATTATGTTGTGAACATAACTGGTACATTTTAAGATGCAAGAGGATTATTCTGAAACTTGCATACAGAAATTGTTGTATACGTCTCCACTCTAGAGGCATCAAATATCACCCTAAAGCCTTCTATTTCATTACTTGAGTTTGTTATCTATCCAGAAGAGTTTGAGACATCTTCCTCTCTTTTCATATTCACATCTATCCTTCTTCTAAAGGTTTGGTCCTTTTCACCAACGATCCTTGATATAGTAAGTGGCGATCAGAGGATCATGGTTGTGGTAGAAAATCCCAGTTTGTGCTTGATCCAAGCATGCCCAATTGACAAGTATTCAAAAATAGTTTGCCAATTTCTTTCACTCTTACCATGTCTTGTCCAACTAATTTCCTTACACGAATAAAGCAGACAATTTTGTCTAAATTTAATAAGGAATCAAAAAGTGTGCTACTTTCTCCTACAAAATAAACAAAATTTGAATTAATTTTTGCCTTTGCTAAACTTGGTTAGGCTTAGTCAGCCATATTGTCAAGCAGATGGTATGCATAATTTGTCTATGCACTAACAAACATCAATCTAATACAGATGCATAGAAATCAGGTATTGACATCTCCATAGAAGACAGAGAAATAGCAAACCAAAAAATTACATACCAAATAGTATGGATTTGCATCTGGTCTGTGAAAGAAAAAAGCATACAGAGTTCAGCCCAAATACAAACTGGAGAATAAAGGAAGATACAACACTCAAACGAACATTCATTGTAAAAAATTGAACAATTTCTTTGATAAACCTGAGAGTAATTTGCAACAACGAAATTGAATAATTTACACCTCTTAATATCTCACAACTTGAGGAACAAGCTTGGGTGAAAAGCACACTGCCTAATCTATAGCGGCACAAATCTCGAATTAATGAAGAGCTTGCTGGAGAAGCACCGCATACAACTCAGCCGGTGTCATTGTAGCTTCCCTAGCAATCTTCAACGAGGGTGATTTCATAATTTCCTGTTTGTTAGATGCACTATTTAGACTCAAATTTTGTTGCTTTTATAAATAGGTTATAGATGTATGTAGTCTTCTCCGCAGGGGACTATACTATGCTGAGTACTGGCTGGTGTGCTAAAATTTGTTTTTGTTTTTACAAAGTACTAGGTAGCTCGAAACGAGCTACCCGAATGGCTCGAAAGTATGATTTGCCTTTGCTGTCACGTGCTTAGTAAATTAAAAGAAAAGAAACAAACGTATAACAATTTAAAAACAAAACACAAGAGAGAGGAGAGGACAGAGAAAGCATGGGAAACGAGAGAGCAGAGCAAAGCTGCCACAGTGAAACATCTTCTCCGACAACCACGACGACGACAGACTTGGGTGTTAGCTGACGACCAACTTAGGTAAGTTGTGACAATGAAACATCTTCTCCGATGACGACCACTTCTATTCGAAATCCCTACCGCCGTGCATTGGAGATTAGGTAAGTTCCTCTTCTGATTTTTTTTGCATTTGTGATAGGTGCAAATCTATTGATTTTTGTGATGAATTTGAGATGTCTGCAATGGTTCTGGGTTTGTTTTGTTTTTCATTGGTTGTGTGGCCAATGTTTTTGTAGTAATGCATTCCAGGTGTTTGATGAAAGTTCACATAGAGAGATTGTAATTTTGTTAATGAAAATAGTAAATTCTGATTCTCTTCAGAACTAGTTTATGATCTAATGCATTCCAGGTTTTTGTAGTGATGCATTCAATTGTAGGAATTTATGTTGTGGGCAATTGATGGTTTATATGGTTTGTAATTTTGTTAATGAAAATAGTGAATTCTGATTCTCTTCAGAACTGGTTTATGATCTGATGCATTCCAAGTTTTTGAAGTGATGTAGTCAGATTATACAAATAATTTCCAAATACGAAAATGTTTACTTCATAACACATACTTACATATTTTGATGGGCAAATAAAGAACAAATGCCCATGATTTCCATTCTCGTTGGTTTGTACAATATACATTGCAACTGTTCTCCCACAGTCACACATTCTTGGTTTTAATGTAATGTTGCTATTGTTCGTAGAAGAAGAAGCCATTTTTAATCTGCAACTAAACAATGAGAATGTAATATGTGGGTGCTTGGGAAGTGGCTATTTTAGAGGCTTTTTGGCTATTTTAGTAGGCTATTTAGTTATGTTTGGGAAGTTAGGTTAAATTTTTGAGGTTGAAATGACATTTGAGGTTGAAATGACAAATTTGTCCCTAATCTTATTTTTTCCAAAATTGATCTGCGGGAGCAAAATGGTAATTTAACTGCCTATGGGATGGCAGTGGTAGCCTGAGCCTACACTGTGTTGGTCATAGTGTAGGCTGTCCGTGCATGACAGCCACTGCCTTTTCTTTATTTATTTTTTTTATTTTTAAATCAATGGGTTAGTGTGGCTAATTCGTAACGATCTGCTTGTGTTTTCCACAAAATAGTATTTGAGATTTCTTTTTCTTAAATCCGTATGTTAAGTTTCCATATCTTCCTGATAATCTGAGATGTGCTTGCTTGCTGTTGTCATGTTTGATTGTACTTTCAGACATTGTATCAAATGGACTGCCCAGAACTTGGGTTTGTTTTTGACTTTGTATACAACCAAAGGCAAAAACAAATTCAGCAAGAATACCACATTTATCAGCAAACATTATTATGGAAAATTTCAGCAGCAAAACAAGATTTAGCAAATAAATTCTTGAGCAAAAACTCAACAGCAAACCAATTTGTAGCAGAAAAACATTATTGGCAAACAATTCAGCGGCAAAACATGATTCTAGCAGCAAACATTCTTGGGGAAAAATTCACGAGCAAACCAATATGTAACAGCAAAAATCATTGGAAAAAAAGAAGCAGCAAAAAAAATTAAATGTGTGGCAATGAACATCCCTACAAGATCATCACCACAATTAATTTGAACATCCCCAGAAGAACTAACTGTACACAAAATCAAACCACATTTTGACATAAATTAAACTCCATCAAATTCTTCATTCAAACAACTGAACATATATACATACAATACCTTAGAGAGTCAGGCAAAAAGGAAAAACACGAAACCCTAATTTCTTGAATCTTCAAACCCTAGTTTTGCGATGTCGGGTTTACCTGAGATTCGTTTTCAATTGGTCGGTAATCCGGCGTATGACAAGTTTCCGGCACTGAGAGGAGTCAGATGAGCGTGGTCGAACGAGAGGAGCATGAGAGGAGTATCTCGCTGACCACCAAGTCGAAGGAGAATGAGCATTGAGCAAAGTATGAGAACTTTCCAGTGTGGTGTCGGATGAGGTAGTCGAATGGAGTCGGAATGGCACGTCGGAGAGGTAGTCGGATGAGCGAGGGATGAGAGGGATTTAGGTGGAGAGGAGTGAGGGGATGAGAGCGATAGAGGTTTTAGGTGGAGAGGAGAGAAGGAGCTCAAACTTGGCCAATTTCCCCCGTTGTGGCATTTTGAATATTTTAGTCCGACTATAATGTTTTCTATTTTATTCCTAATATAAGGTGGAACGGGTTTAGCAAAATCGTTTTCATTAAAATAGCATTGGCAAAGCCGTTTTTTATGAATAAAAAAATAATAAAATTTTTCTTCGTAAAAATAATTTTTAACCTAATTAATTTTAAGTTTATATAAAATAATTTTTATAAAATCATTTTAAGTTTATAAAACCGTTTTTATTTTTATTAATTTTTTTTTTCAATTTAGAAATATTGTTTGCCTAAAATAATATTTTTATCATAAATAGAAAATGATTTTTGGAAAGCCGTCTCATTTTAAACAAAGCCCATCTTCTTCTCCCTTTACGAAAGTCGTTTCTTCTTTTCCAGCCCATCTTCTTCTCCCTCACTCAACCGAACTCCGAAGGGAAGACCGACGATGAAGAGGAAGCAACGAACAACGGCCAATAGTACACCACCGGGAAAACGAGGAACACCTTCATCAAACACCCACATTCAGGTTTGTATCGCATAAATTAGGATTTTCATTTCAACTTTGGGATTTTAAATTTCGAAATTAGGGATTGCTGAATCTAGGGCATTGAAAAGTTACAAATTTTGTTATTCGTAGGATATAGTTTACGATTTTCTATATCTCAGTTCACTTTTTCTGTATCTCTGTTCACTCCTTTTTTGTTTATTATATAATATCCTTATTTTCCTCTTTTTCAATACTGTGAATATTGAAATATCCTTGTTTGTATGTCGGTTTGAAATATTGAAATCTTGAGACATAATCTTCTGTTTGGAAATGTATTGAGAATATAGGGCAAAATTTTAGAACAAAAGTAGGAATAACAATGAAGTAGAGTGGGATTGGATTTGTGGTGTTCTATTCCTATACCATTCCTAGTTGGGGCAATACTACTGGCCTTGGCTCATTATTAGGATCCTTGGGGCATCTCCAATGGAGATGCTGAGCACACTACACACAGATTTATACAAGTATACACACCACACGTTTGGCCATAAGCTAATACACCTAAAAAATCAAAATTTTATATATACTAGGGTAATACACCTAAAAAATCAAAATTTTATAAAAATCAAAATTTTATATATACACCTAAAAAATCAAAATTCTAAAAATCAAAATTTTTAAATGCATAGTCGTATATCTTGTGAGCATAAAATTGAAAATTAGATAAGGTAGTTCATGTCTCATAAAATAAACCCATATATATATATATATATATACTAGGCAGGGAGGCCATGGCCTTCCATGGTTTGTGTGCATGTGGTATTCACCCTGATGGACTTTCAGGATGGTATAGAGTTTGAGTTGGAAGTAGAGAGAGTTTGAATTGAAAATAGCAAGTTCACAAGAAGTAAAGTTCGAATTGAAAGTACGGAGAGTTTACCATTGCTTTGTTAATTTGGCCAAATGATGCCTTTGGCCTTCAAATCTTCAATTAATAGTCTAGATATATATACAAATATCAACAATCCAATGGTGTGGAAACTATCTAATTCTTCCATTATAACCAAATGATTGCCTATTATATATTTTAATTAATAGTCTACATATGTATAAATTTCAATGATCTAGTAGTATGAAAGCTATCTACATCCTTCCACCACCTTATGATGAAAAAATTCTACAATTATCTACCTAATTATAAGGATTTCTACAAAATTTTACATAAATCTAAAATCGAATTTGTAACTCAAATATTTGATAAAATTCCCAAGTTGTGACATTATTCCCCGCCTAATACGACCACATCCTTAACGCAAATCCCTCGTGAAAGCTTTCGATCTTCTCTTCGAATTGATGCAAGAGTTTTGCTAACTCGCTAACTCTCAACTTGTCAATTTCAAGTAGTCCATCTATTTTACTTGGTATTTTTAACACATCATTGGAGTTTCTAGTGATTCCAAACCTTTAAAATATCCAAATTCAACCTTTTAAATCTCCACATTCAAGACGTATTAATAGTATAATTTTCTCTCAATAAATGCAAATTATATAGATAGCATTTTTAAGCAAGAGACTATCTTATTTACGATTGACCCATATAAACACTAGCTTTTTATAGTCTATCAGTAAAGAGATGAGACATAAGCAAAAGAGTGGACTCTATGATTTCTTCTTTTTCTTCTTTTTCCCTTAATCCCACTGTCCCACTGTTCACTACGTTGGGATTGATCTCTTATATTAGTCAGTCATTACGGCCGAATACTAATCCAAATAAATATATATATATATATGTATTTTTTAGATCATATTAGTCAGTCATTACGGCTGGATACCAATCAAAAAATATTGTGGGGATATATTTTCTGAGTCCCAACACGTGGCCAAGGTGACGCCGACGTGTCAGCCGAGGTGCTATGTGTCCAGGTTATGACGCCGAGGTTATCTCGGCAACGCTGAGGTTATCTCCGAAGATATCGGAATCCAAGATAAACGGATAGGGGACAAAGTCCTAGAATGATGAAGGACTATGACATGGATAAGGATAAAGCTCTTAGAGAGTTTATCTTTATCTCTTAGGGAGTCCAAGATAAGCACTGAGCAAGAGTCCATTGAAGCTTGGCTTCTAGTGGGACAAGGATTGAGTTTGTTATAAAAGAGAGGCACCCCCATGGGTCTAAGGTACGCAAGTTATATTCTGAACAGTGAGTTTAGCACTATTGATTATCTTTAAGAGATATATTGACTTGATTGTCGGAGTGCCCCCGGGTAGACGAACCACCGCCGGAATCTTCTCTTTCTGTTGCAGGTCAGCCAGATGTCATCTATTCTGCCAGTGCTCTCCAGCTGATTACTGAGTTGGGCAATGTGATCGGAAAATCACTCACACAATTTGGCGCCGTCTATAGGAAAGAAAGAAGAATAGATGGCCAGTGACGGACAGAAGGAAAAGATTGGGGACAACACTCCTACTGGGAGTGGCAGACCTATCCACCTTGACGTCGAAGGAGGCAACCGCAACATAGAAACTCGTAACCAGAATCACAGCAAGAAAGACGTCGGCTAGGATAGAGACGTACCAAAGCAGCCAGATCGAAGTGGGTACTACCATGAGGATCGCCTCTAGGTATGGAAGGACAGATGCCTGCGGAGGGACGAAGAGGTAAAAGAGATGGCAAATAAATTAGCAGACCTGCAATTGGTCGTCAATTTTATGATGCAATACAATGTCATGCAACCACCATACCCGCTGCAAAACACGCCAATTCCAGCGGCCAATACCCAGAAAGGAGGGCAGAAGACAATCCCAATAGCCCCTCAGCACACCAGAAGCGAAAAACACTCTCACTAGCCTTTCAGGGAGGTCAGGAGAGGAGAGGAGAGAAGTGAAGAGTCGCGGAGGACGCACCGCGCTAAGGAGGCAGACCCCAAAGAACATCGGCATGTTCAGAGACAGGCACTCTGCTTTGACACAACCCACAGAGAAAGATCGAAGAGGACCCACCATGAAGCTGAGAGTAGTATACCGAAAAGACTGAAGTCAGGAGATAGTCGAGCTCCTGGACGAAGCAAAGAAGACTTAAGAGATTACCTCAAGAGGAAACAGCAGAATGCTGATACCGAGGTAACTTTCCCTGAAAAGCCGATAACACTGTTCTCAGTGGAGTTAGACAAATTTAAGGCGCTGAAGAGATTCAGTATATCAAGGCTCCAAATATACGATGGTAAGTCAGACCCTAACTTCAACAATGGATTATACTTGAACTTAATGGCATTATATAGTGGGAACGAACCGTTGCTCTGCAAAGTGTTCCCCTCATCATTTGGGGAGATTGCATCAGATTGGTTTCATAAACTACCGAAGGGAAGTGTGAAGACCTGGGAAGGCCTGGCCGAGAAGTTTGTGGCCAGGTTCGTAACAAATAAGTTGCAGCCATTAAGAGTGGATGCATTGATGGCTCTGAAGATCAGTAAGGATGAAGGCCTTAGGGCCTATGCAAAACGGTACTATGAGGTGTTCAACCGAATACCATAATGTAATCAAGAGGTGGCAGTCGTATCTTTCAAGAACGACCTCAATGACAACTGTTTACTACGAAAATCTTTGGCAAAGACATTGTCAAAAAGCATGGAAGAGCTCATGACGAGGATCGAGAAATATGCCAGAGCCGAAGAAGATACATCGGGGACCAAGGAGGTAAAGCAAGAAAAGGAAAACGGCTCGCCGAAGCGAGGCTAAGGTAACAACGGATCCAACAAACAGGAGATAGAACTGAGGGCAACACAGGCAGTGACAACCGTGTTCCGAATCCCAATTTACAAAGTCCTGGATCAAATTCGGAATCAACCCTATTTCAGAACACCTGCAAAAACACCAGGAGAATTCATGAGAAGAAACCTTGGTAGGCATTGTGCTTACCACAATGAAAACGGGCATATGACTCAGGGCTGCAGAGCCCTGAAAACACACTTGGAAGACCTAGTGAGGCAAGGCCATCTGAGAGACCTTGTTGATGAGGCCAAAACAAGGGAAGAACAGGCAAGATTGCCTCAGGCGACAGCAGCTCCACCTCCCCCAGCGCAGCAACCACAAGCAGGAGGACCTCAGGTAATTAATGTAATTCACTCGAAGGTCAACGAAAACGAGATTCGGGGGGAGACCCAGAAGGTAAAACATCTACAACATGTTAACCAAGTCGGGGAGAAGAGACATCGGCCAAAGGAGTGCCAAGGGCCAGTAGTGTCCTTTTCCGAAACCGACCTTGAAATGGTGCAGCACCCACATAATGATGCCTTGGTTGTATCCCTCCAGGTTGGGGAATGCCAAGTAAAGCGCATCTTGATTGACCAAGGCAGCTCTTGTGACAGCATGTACGTCTGATGTTACAAGGAGCTCGGCCTTCACCCAGACGACATGGAGTAATCCAATAGCCCAATAGTCAGGTTCAATGGAACGCCGACATGGCCACTAGGAACAACTAGCTTGGAGGTGCAGGCAGGCACCAAGAAGATAACAACAGAATTCACAGTGATTGACACACCCTCCCCTTA